AGACATACATACACACATACAGACGGACAGAAAGACATACAAACAGACAGACAGACAGAGACATACATAGCTATATGCATGCATATATGCACGCGTGAATGAATGCATAAGTCCATACACACATACGAACATACAAACATACATACATACATACGTACACACATGCATGCATGCATCCATCCATCAAACCATACATACATACATACATACATACATACATACATACATACATACATACGTGCATTAATACCGACATACACACATACATAACATGCATGCATGCATGCACGCATGCCCTCACGCACGCACGCACGCATGCATGCACGCATCCGTCCGTCCATCCATACATTTATACATGAATACATACATGCACGTATAACTACATGCATGCATGTACACATACATACGTGCATGCATGTATGCATACTTACATACATACATACATGCATACATACACATGCATATACATAGATACAGACATTCATGCATACAGACAGACAGACAGACAGACAGACCTGCATACAGACATACAGGCATACATACATATAGATACATACATAGACACACTCAGACATACACGCATACATACTGGCGAATATAGGAGCAGCGGCTGGCACAGATGGAGATTTAGAAGCTGACGGCAGCACAGCGGGCAGTGACTACGGAGACATGGGAACGGGGACCGAGGCAGAGAGGGCAGGGGATCAAGGCTGCACCGAAGACAGTGAAGCAGGAGAGACGAAAGAAAGGATGGAATGCGAGGGGAGGCAAAGGAATGAAAACGAGCATTGACAAGCACAGGAAAGCAAGACAGCCCTTGGTTCGGCGGAACACCAGCGGCAGGGTCATCTGAGCGTTCCTGCAGCGATGCTCTCTTCCACTCACGCTGATGCCATAAGCAGATGGATAAGACCTGGCCGTACGTCGGGCCCATGGAGCGCGCCCTGAACACAGAGGCGGTGGATACATAGCACGACCAGACATAAACACTACATATATTGCATCGCATAGCTTGGACCACATAGCTTGCACCGCATGGCTGACACCACATTGCTTACACCACGAAGGTTGCACCATCCACAGTGCAAGATCTCCCTGCTTGGGATCCACGCTGGCAAACATATGTCGATATCGTCGCCACGAAACCTGAACACATAAATATATGTACACGCATATAAATATTTCTGCAAACATGTAGACATACAAAAAGACTTGAATCACGCGCGCACTTCGCGCGCGCAGGTTCTGGCAATCTGCGTCCGTAGTCTAAAACTTGCAACGTCAGGGCGAAGATTGCCGTCAAAACGTGCGTCATGACTAACACCAGGCATTCGAGCAATGTGCTGAAGGTGCCTTCCCCTTCCGAGCCCCCATGGACGCTATGCGAAGAATACCGATCGCCCCGAGCCCTGTTTCTTCATCCTCCCCCCAAGCCTTCACATTCCCTTTCCTCCCCTTCCTCTTCTCGCTCCCATCTCGGCCCCTCGCCCCCCCCCGTCACGCCCGCCATCGCAAAGGGATTCAAAAACTGTCGTGCTGGCCCCCTCCACCCCCCAATCCCCCCCGTAAGATCCGTCATCGCAAATGGTACAAACATGTCCCCTACTCAAAACGAGAACCCAACGCACGAGGGCTGGGAAAAGCATGGATACGAGGGAAGAGGGGGATGAACGGCCAGGGGCGGAAAATGTTCATGTCTTTGTCGAAACGAGCCACGCCACTTGGAGGAACGGAAAAATCGGGGAGAAGGAGGAAGGGAAACGTCCCACCGTTAGCCCGTCCTCGCCCTCTCACTTTTCGTCGTCCTCCTCCACATCCCATCATCCTGCTTTTCTTTTTCATCCTGCTGCTGCTCCAACAGAGTTCTTGAAATGCTGGCCAGCATGGAGCCCAAGAATATGTATATATATATATATAGAGAGAGAGAGAGAGAGTGATCGTGCAATTTATGTGGTCAAGATTTGTTGTGCGATCTATGTAGTGCACTATACGCGGCGCAGTGGTGCAATTGATTCTAGCAAACAAGTTGACACATCCCATGCTTTTGCAAACATGCCACCCACCCACCCGCAATGTGGTTTGCAGAAACCCACGAGGTGGCGATTGCAATGCATGCTTCGCGTTGACTGGTGCATCCCTGCGGCCGCGCAACCCAAGCACGCGCGCGCAGCGGCCAGCTAGTTTGGCGCGACCGACGCGGTCGCGGTGGCGCTGGCCGCTGGGCACGTCCCAGCGGGCACTTCACTGCGAGTCGGCGACTTGGGCGGGCGCGGTACCATGGCAGCGTCGACAACGGTACACACGAGGATGATAGTAGCGATGCTGGCGACGATGTTGACAACGACGAAGGCGCGGCCAGTGCGGGCGCCGTTGCTAATCACACCCACGACGCTGACGGCGTCCTCGCGTCAGTGATGCAGGTTTTGGAAACAGTTCGACATGTGGTGTGCGCGGCCGACGCGCGAGAGTGGTCCGCATGGCATTATTTGACACGGACAATGCCCCCTCAGCACGCGCGCAAGGGCGTGCAAATGATGCCGGCATGCGGCGCAAGGGGCCCGCTTGGCCGAATTCCATGACAATGTTGAAGACCGATGGTTCTCTGAAGAATCCGCAAGGGCGCGCGTGCACGTTTTTTTGAAAACTGATGTTGCGGAAACATGTGTTGATTATGTTTGTGGGCACTCGGATTTGACATCGCTACGGAACCCAAGGTTATAGACGGACTTCGGCATGCGCGCGCGCGACGACGCGCGCGCGCATTTCGTCCCATTTGTTGCAAAAGATTCTCGCGACGGCACGCGCGCAAAGGGCGATCAAACGATTTCGACATGTGCGCGCGAACCCCGTTTGGTAGCTTTTTTCTGAAAATGTTGAACAACCGATGGTGTTTTCGAGAACTCGCAAGAGCTCGCGCACAAGTTTTGTTTTGAAAAACCGTGTTGCGAAACCATGTGTTTGTATATGTTTTGGACACTCGATTTTGAAATCCTTACGAAAACGAAAACTGCTGAATTGCGGCATGCGCGCGCGATGACGCACGCGTGCGCACTTCGTCTCGCTTTTTTGTTGTAAGGGGTTGTGATAAACGAGTGCGCGCGCATCGTATTTTTGTGGGGCGATACCGGCCCCCCTGGGATGCTGTAAATTCATAATTCGGATGGACGATGGGGCAGAACCAGATGCAAATTGCACAACGCAAAAGGGAGGGGATAATCCCGGGGGGAAGAGTCCATTTTCTTTTCAGAAAGGAGACTATATGTTGTGCGATCTGCGAGGTGCAATGTAAGTGTTGCAATGTGTGTGGCTATGTTGTGCGAGATCTGTTGAAAAAATATATGTGTAGCACTCTACATGGTGCAAACTATGTGGTGCAACATGTGTACAATATATGTGGGGCCGCATATGTTGTGCAACATATGGGGTGCAAGCTATGTGGTGAACTCCATGTGGTGCAAAGTGTTTGTAATGCACTCGATGTGGTGCCACATATGAAGTGCAATCGATGTTGCGCAAAATGGGCGCAAAGCGATACACAGCATTTTGTTGAACAATGCGAGGCAATGCACAGCAATACCCAGCAATGCAATGCAAAGCGACTGCACTGCAACGCAATGCAAGCAATGCAAAGCGATGCAAAGAGATGCAAGGCAATGCAAGGCAACGCAGAGCAATGCAGGCCCAGACGACGGGCCGAGACGAGGTGGCGACGGGGCGGCGACAGCGACTACATAGCCGCAAGACCGACCTTCAGGCCGAGACGACGGGCGGCGACGGGCGGCGACGAGGCGGCGACGGGGCGGCGACGGCAACTACCTAGCCGCTAGAACGATCTTCAGGGCCGGCTCCTTAAACACAAATAAAAACCCTTAAATGCAAGCGCTGCTTGGGGAGACATACCAACAGCGCCTCCGAATGTGGGAAGCTTTGGGAACCTCCGAAATCTTCTTCCTCCTTGAGGATGAGGCATCAAGCCCAGTCGAGCGCTCGCGAAACAAGTGAGAGCACGACTGCACATCGACTTGCAAGGACGCGAGACCGTGTTCCATGCAACACGAGGACTCTCGTTGGCTCACGCTGCTGCTTGGCACGCAAAGGACAGCAACCTGCCAGAATAAAACACAGGATGCTCACACCGGCGAAATTCTCTCTATCCGCGAGCTGGGACTTCCGAGCTGTGCACAGCGCCTGTGCAAAGGCCGAGCGATGGAAGCGAGCGAGGGAACGAGCGAACGACAGCTGGCAGGCCCCCGAAACTCTTGGGAAGCCAGCGTTGACCTTCCATGGGGTCTCAATATTTACGTCCGCCAGACTCCGCTGGCGGAAGCGAGCGGAACTACCCTCGTTTTACGTGCTTTCACAGCACTGCGCCCGAGAGCCTTCAGGGGGACGCTTCGCGAGGGGCCCAGGGTAGTAACAAAAAAAAAAAAAAAAAAACACTGAGGTTCGGCGCGCGATATGACTATTCATGTCGAGGGATCGGGCCCGAACGGGAGCGCAGAGGGCAGGGCGGGAGCTAAACCACGACCCCGCGCTCACGCGCCCCCGCCTCTTGCGGAGGCGGCACTGTGAGGGCGGCATATGTTCCCCCTCTGGGGCAAGGTGGCCCCTCTCCTCAATTTCATAGCACAGACGGCGGAACCAGACGCAGGAGGAGAGAGGGGGGAGGGCAGCGACAGCCAGCGACAGTGGCGCCTCGGGGCCTCAGCGAACACCCACGAGCACAGCGACAGGCGGGTTCCACCCGTCGAACCCCTCCTCGACGATGTAGCTCCGTTCGTGCCCCGAGGAAACGAGGTGCCGAGCCAGAGAGGGTGCACGAGGTATTGTCAATATCTCTTGTCGACGCCGTCGAACCTCACTCCTTGGGAACGACGCTGGTCATCTAAGTTGGTAGGATGTGCGTTGGCGCTTGAATATTTCCCCGATCGATGGCTGGCGTTGCTTTTGTGGCAAAACGGTGGCGACTTTGAACCTGGGCGAACCAGGGCTTTGTGCCTCTACTTGCGATTGGGCTTCTTGGCACCGCCCTTTTCGCCCGTCCTGGCGCCGCCCTTGAACGCCAGCTGCTCTAACTGCTTGGCTGCCTTCGAGCGGGGTCTGCGATCGTGCCCGAGCATGATGTTCGCCGCAGACAGGCCGCTGTTGATCCTCAGCACCGCCAGGGCGCTCCTGAGATCGACGCGGTGGTTGCAGGCCCAGATCCAGCGCACTTGGTTTTCTCCGCCCTCGGCGAGGGTTACTTTGAAGCACCGCGTCGACTTGACCACCGTCTCCTCGCCCTGAACCAGCGGGCCCCAGCGCAGCAGCACGCCCATTCCCTCGAGCGCCTCTGTCGCGAACGGGCCCAGGCCTATCGCCTGCTTCACGTTCTCTGGGTCGTTCGGAACCGCCTCCGTGAGGCGGAAGACGATCATGCGGAACAGCGCGTTGGCTTCTTGCCTTCTGGGTGACCTCGAGAGTCGTCGCCCTCGCGCGCCTTCTTGCCCACTTCCACAAAGTGCTGGTAGCCTTGCTCCAGGGCCACCTCTATCTTCGCACCCTCCTTGAGCGCCAGCGTGAAGTTGTCGTCTCGGGCGGCTGACTGGCGGACGGCTTCGTGCTGGAGAAGCATGCGGCACATGAAGTTATGCAGCTTGCCGTTGGGGGCCCCGTCGGTCGAGCTTGCGGCCTCGCTCGGCGGTGCTGCCAGTGCCTCGGCGCCTCGCTTGGGCTCCGTCACCTCGCTGATCGGGCCGAACATCGCACGAGTGCACAGGCGCTGTCGCAGAGGGGGGCGTAGGAGACGGAGGGGCAGGCCCCGGCGGTTCGGGTCTCGCTGGCCTAGCAGCCTGAACCGACGACGACGGTGGGGCACGGCATCGCTGTAGGCGGAAGTGGCGGACCAGGGTATCCTTTCTGCTGAACTTGGTCTGGCAGCGCGGGCGCCGAAGGGCTCTCAACTGGTCATCGGTGAGGTCCGTGGGGTTCGCGTACTTCTGGTGAACCCGAAACACATGGTTGTCGAGCCCCTTCGGGCCCTGACACACACGGGCGCACAATGGACACTGCAGGAGCTGTTCGGGAGGGGGCACTTCGCCAGCGGCTATCTTCGCTTCCTCGCCCGTCTGATTGCATCGCACCCGTCGGAGCTGGGCTCGAGGAACCTGACGCAGCCAGCGAAACCAGGGCCTGGTGGGAGTCGGGTCGGGATCTCCGAGTTCATGGTCGTCACGGGCCTGCTGTTGGGCCTCTGCTGCGCACGTCTTCCAGGGCTTCCGAAGGTCCTCCTGGAGCACGCCTAGAAGGGAGTGGTTTCCCTGTGACGAGGGCCCTCGAAGTGAAACCTGCCAAAGACCACTGCGCGGACCAGCTTAGCGGGGTCGCACATGGGGTCCTGGGGGTGCTCCTGCGGGTCCTGCTAGGGGCGCCTCCTCTGGGCCCCCCTGGGCCTGCATCTGCTTCGAGTCGGGGAAGGCAGGACGCACCGCACCCTGCCACCACGCAAGACGACGTTCCAGCAACGTAGATGCCACTGTCGGGACCCTGGTTAAACGCCTTATCTCCGCATTACTCGTGTGATGGGCATGGGCAGGAGAGCGAGCGAGGTAGCGAAGTTTGCGAGTCTGCCAGTACTCTAGTCTATGGAGGTCGCGCTTACTCAGGACTGCCACCTCCAAGCTGTGCAGGGCCGTTGACCGAACGAGGGGGCGCCATAAGCGGACTTGAAGGCGCACACTGAAATGCCCCTTGAGAGCTCTACGTGCAAGTCGAGCATGTGCTGCATTACCTCCCTGAATCCTACGGGTGACCTCCTCCACCATCGTGCCATCGTCACGCTGCTTCGCTCCTAAGTACTTCACACTGGGAGTGGCATGGACTGGGGTCTCGTGCATGTGAATGTTTGTTTGCTTCGCTCTGATCGTGGCCTTGCGGCTTTTGCTTTGCTCACCTGTCGCGACGATCAACATTTCGGTTTTGGTGTCGTTAACCTTTGTCTTACCTTTCGTGAATTCTGCCTTCAGGAACGTGAGGAAGCGAGAGCCCGCTTCGAAGTTTTCGACAATCGTGAGGGCGATCAGGTCGTCAACGAATTTGATGGGGGACACGACCATCCTCTCCTCCTCCCCCTCTCCAAGCAAGGCGTCCTGATGGCGTATCTGTTTCAGTTCTGGGTCAAAAAGCACAGAGATCTCGGGGAACTCGGCCCTTGCCCGGCTCTGCTCCGGCTTCGAGGCGAGAAGGTCGTAGACGGCTATGAACAGCAGCGGACCATCCACACTGCCCTGCCGAACTCCGCGTGGGATCGATAGCTTCTTGATGGGTCGGTTGGCGCGGATGTCGCGAGCAATGTAGCACGTGCCCTCGCGTAGCCCCCCAACTGCCAGGCGCGCCTCGCGGCTCTGGGCGAGGGCCTCGAGCGCAGTCCAGATCTCGTCGCGATCGATCAGGTCGAAGGCCTTCTCGAGGTCTATCAGGGCCGCAACGAGCATGCCTGGGATTGCGGAGCCCAGCTTGGACGCGCGGCCATGGAGCCGGAATCGTCGGATAACCTCGGCTACGACTGCAAGCGCATCTCGGGTAGAGCGGCCCGCCAGCGCGCCGAACTGCGCGGTCGAGGGCTTCGAGGCCAGGTTGCGGAGGGAGGGCATGACGGTGACGTTCATGAAGACTTTGCCAATGTGGTTGATGAGGTTGATGGCGCGGTAGTGGTCGCGGGCGTTCTTGCCATCCCCTTTTCGGCTTGCGGAGGGAGACAGTCTCGCCGTCTTTGAAGCGCTGGGCCGAACGGCCCAATTCTTGGCTAGCCTGGGAAACTTCGCGAAGGACTGGGGCCGTTTCTGCCGTAGCAAGTTCGATAACGGAGCCGTCGCAAGGGTCGGTCGAGTCGGGCGACATCTTGAGGATGGGGGCGCTCTTGTAGTTCGGCATTGTGGCGATAGCCTTGGCAACGTCATCGATCGTGTATGACCCAATGCGTGTGTCGTCTCTCGGGGGGCCCCAGGAGTGCCTCCATGTTTGTCCATGTTGATCAGGGTCCCGTCAAAAATGTCGCAGAGGGCCTTGGTGCGGACGTGGGTCTCCTCCTCGGCGTCCATGCATACCGTCGCCGTAGCGGGGCTGGTGACCGTGATGACTGGCGCCGTAGGCTTCGGAGCTAGGCGGCGAACTACGCTGTGGAGCTTGCGCAGGTTCATGTTTGCGTCCGCTGCCTCGGCCTCCGCCGCTGTCTCTGCGAGACGTCGTCGGCGTTCTGAGCGCGCTGCCTTGGCAGCCGCCTTGGCCGCCTCGTCGCACAGGGTCTGGGGCTCGATGAAGCGCGCGCAGGCGGGGTCGGCGATCATAGCCATGCGTCTCTGGATGGTGTGCTTGGTCTCGATCAGGGCCAGGGTGTTGTCCGTCAGCTTCGGGCGCGTGGTCTGCGTGGGTGCCGGGACGTAGTGCGGGGCGGCAGCCTCAATGATGGCGTGCTCCACGGCGTTGAAGTATTCCGAGAGGGGTGGCGAAACGTAGATCCTCGCCGCACGTCATCCACCAATGGTTAGTGAGGCCGCTGTCCGTCATCATCTGGGCTAGGGTTGTGCGCATCTGGAGGACGCGCTGCGGGGGAGGTGCATCGGGGTCTTCGAGCGCGTGGAGGTCGGCCACCATGGCGTCGCGGTTCCACCGCAGGGGCTTCTCCTCAGGTTGGCGACGCGCACGTAGCCCCGCGTGCACGTAGGCCTCGACAGGTCGGTGGTCGCGGTATCCGCCAAGGCTGACTGGTCTCTGTTGTAGAGGGGCTGCGTGCCTGCCGTAGGAGCCTGCTAAGCGGGTGCAGATGTAGTCGATGGTGGTCCATCCTTTGCCCACCGTGTGCTTCCACGCGCCGTTCTGGCGAGAGCTCTTGCCGAACGTGTTCAGGGCCATCATGTGGTAGTCCTGGAAGAGTTCCAGTAGGCGCGAGCCGTTGGTGTTGGTGGCTGCATAGCGGCGTCTCTGTCCAGCAAAGCCCACGTTCGGCAGGGATGGGGACATGGCAGCATTGGCGTCCAGGTTGAAGATTAGGGCCAGGCGTTTCGGGATCTGGCGGAGGGCCGCTCGACACGTGTCCCAAAACTGGGTTTGTAGGGCCTTATGGGCTACGGCTCGTTCGTGGTGGTCGGCTTCAATGCGGCGGTGGCTGACCTCGTTCAGCGGGGCGTAGCCATTCAAGATGTAGATATCACGTTTTCGGGGGCATCTTCTAGTGAGTCGAGTACCCTGTAATCGTCCACTCATCCACTCGTGAGTGACTCGGAGCTCGCTCAAAGAGAAAAACTTCAGGTTGAAAGCTATCAGACAGCCATCTCTACTGGATCTGGTCGTACGCGGAGTCGGGATAACTCTGTAGCCTTCTGTGGTCCACGGGGTGGCGAGCTCCGGCAGGGTACTCTGGAGGCGAATGATGGCAACACGAGCGGCGCGGGCGAGTCGAAGGATCTCGGCCAGGCGGTCCGCTCGGAGGAGGCTCTCGCAGTTGTACGTCCATATATATATACATATATATATATATATATATAATATATATATATATATATATATATATAATATCGGCTGCTGTTGACGATGATGTCGTGCACGCTGGCGAAGGTGATACTTGGCGGCGCTGGTGGCCGTGGGGTCTCGAGCTGGTGTCGAAAACCTCGATGCATAGGAAGTAGATGTAGTTCTCAATGTCGTCTGAGCCATGAATTGATGGTGGTCCGAAAGTAGAGCGGCTGCCGTAGCTCGAGTGTACCTCTTACCACGGTACCAGACACTCCCGTCCAATTGCAACACTCTCGCAGCCCGTCGTAGGGCCCGCTTGCCTCCCCGATGCACTTGCTCCCTGGAAGCCGATGTTGGCATAGTCTATCGCGAGTTCCAGGTTCAGGACCGTCGTGCCGCAGTCCAGCGCTCACCTCACCGACCTTGGGAGTCGTGTCGGTCTCCCTCGTCACTTGCGCCTCACGGCGCTGGTCACGGCGCTGGCCATGGCGGCAGTATGGTAGAATGGTCGGGCTTCGGGCTGGGACTTGCGACCCAGCACGCAAGAGAGCACGCTTAATATCTCTCGAGCCGTCGAGGCTTTCGTTTTACGTGCGCCGGCTTCCGCCGAGAGCGAGACGTCTGATTCCTAGTGGGTCGGCACAGATCTGAATCTCGCGCCTCGGATAAAATGGAAAATGGAAACCCAGAAGCGGATCGGATCACGGCTCGGCACCCCAAACCTGGCCAGGCCCCCCAGGGCAGGGGACGTGCAAAATACTGTTTCCGCCCCACACGCAGGAGGCCCCCAGAGGCCCCCGGAGGCCTCCAGATGCGCCTGGCGAGGCCCTTAAACGTCAGAGAGCCCTGCGAGCGAGAGATCAGGGGCCAGAGATCTATCGGGACGTTGACGTTTGGGGACTGGGGCGTGGTTAACGTGTCGCGCCGAGGCGTGGTGGGCCAGAACTGGCGCCGCGATACACTAGGCCCAAGTTCCCAAGCGTAGGGCCAGAGATCTAGGAGAGATCTGCAGGGAGATCGGAGATCGGATATCCGAAAACATGCCGATCGAGAACTGCAATGTCTCAAATTGTTCCATACGCAATGCCCAAAAGGCCCGACCCTTTCCCAAGGGCCGTTTATGTAAATTGACGGTCCCGAGGCCTGCGGAAGGCCCTCAGAAGCCGAAATGGCCAGAAACCTCCCGTCGTTGCTGTTCACGGAAATCCAGAAAAGATCTGCCCTGAGGCCCGACGTCACGAGAAACCTTCAACATCGCAGCGAGATCCCGACCAGAGCCTTGGACCCCACTTCCCTGCGACATTTCTCAAGCCAGATCGATATCTGATGATCCCAGGGCCTGGAACTGGGCGAAAACGCCCAGTGACAAAAAGATGCCACGCCCCGATCTCAGGGTTTTCCCCTCTGCGCCAGCGGAGGAGGAGGAGGAGGAGGAGAATGGAGGAGGAGAGTGGAGGAGGAGAATGGAGGAGGGAGGGAGGGAGGGAGGGAGGACGGAGGAGGGGAAGGGAGGTGGAAGAAGGGGGGCTGGAGGGGTCGGGGGCTCGGAGGCACCTCGCGGCCGCGCCGCGCGCGCCGCGCACCCGCCGCCGCGCGCGGCCGGAGGCCTGCGCCCGCTGCGCGCCCCGCCGCGGCAGGCGGGCACCGGCGGCGGCCTCCGGCCTCGGCGGCCGCTCTCGACGGGCGGCGGGCGGCGGCGGCGGGCGGCGGCGGCGGCGGCGGCGGCGGCGGCGGCGACGACGGAGGCGGCGGCGGCGACGACGACGACGACGACGACGACGACGACGACGACGACGACGACGACGACGTCGACGACGACATCGTCGACATCGTCGATGGCGCTCGAAAGCGCCCGACGACGCCCGACGACGCGCGACGACGGCGGCCACGCGCGTCCCCACCCTGGGGGCGCTCCTGCCGCAGGGCAACGGCGGGGCGGGGGCCGAGGCTCGAGCACCGACGGTCGAGGTGTGAGTCGGCCACCCCTGAGATCTGGGGGCGTGCTGCTTCTTCCACCTGGGCGCGCTCGCCCGGACTCGGGCCCCGGGGCCAAGAGGAGCCTCCAAGAAACCAGCTTCCAAGGAGCATCTCGAGGCTCGATCCTCCCAGAGAAGGCCCCAGGATCGAGCGCTCGAAGGCCCGACGATCGAATGCCCGAAGAAACACTAAGTGCCCCCCGCCTCCCATCGCTCCTCTTTGGGAGTTTCTGAAGAGCGTCCGAAGAGCCTCTAGAGAACTCCGAAAGAGCCCTGGGGTTGGTGAGAAAGGGATAAGCACGCACAGCACGCACAAGAAGGTAAGCAACAGAAGCACGAAACCCTCTCAGAGCAGCGATGCGCCAACGAAGATACTCATGAACCGATTCTGCCAACCGAGAGCGCAATATCTTGCGAAACTCAGCGCAGGCCTTGTGCTTAGCCACCCTGGTCCGAGCTAACCGAAGACGGCTCGAGAGTCGCACATCGATCACAGCGATCAGCCTGGCGAGACAATCGTTGAACTCAAGGCCCGAAGAAATCCAACCACGAATCGGAGGCGGGCCATCCGAGAAACGAGGCTCAGGGGCAATCGTGACCTTCACAGGGACACGGTCTGAAGGGTGCTTGAGGTTCGTAGGCACACCTATAATGGTCCCCAGTCAGGAAAAAGGTCCATGAGCACAGCCGGGGGAATATCCACACACACGCGATCAAGACGAGCCGTCGAAACAACCTTGGGGCCAAGACAAGCACGCCAAATACCCTGAGGCTGATAGAGTTCGGTCCAAGCCCCGAAAGCTGCATTCCACTGACGAATGAAGGCCGTGCCACCACGAGAGGGGGTCCCATCTTCGAGATTGAATCGCCCTTCATCACTGACGACAAAGTTGAAATCGCCAACAAGGATGTGGGCAGCGGTGGCAGCAGGGAGAAGGGCAGAGCGGATGCAAGAGAGACAGCGGCGGTAATAGCCAACCCCTGCATCGATCTTGGGCAGGCGAACTGCAGCGATCCCCAAGAGACCAGCCATTCCCCAACCGAGAACGCAAGACGCCTTACCAGGAAAGAGAATCTTCTGAGTAAAACCACAGGACTGAGACGCCAGCTTATCCTGAACGGCAAGCGAAGATGCCATGACCAGTGCCATTGCTAGCATATGGGGTTGAAGAAGAGCCTGTGGGACGGGAACTCCTTCTGGAGAGAGACAAATACAGACGATCTGGTGGCGACGAATAAAGGCAGGGAGCAACCTCCAACGAGTGCTAGCCCGACCCCTCATGCTAGCAACGCTGGCAAACAACCCTCTGGCATTCCACGCGACGATCGACATCGGTTTCTTGGGAACGAAAGGGGAAGGACGATGTCGCACCGAGCTCCCCTAGATAATCATGGTCCTCGACGAAGCGGCCTTCGCACAGAAGAGAGGCTGACTCCTGCGATGGCCACCCAGCCTCCTCAGAGGCACTAGCGTCCGAAGGAGAGGACGTGCTAAAGACTCAGCTGCTCCCATACCTTGGACACACTATCATCCTGCTTGCTCTCGGTACCTATCTGCTTGAAGTGACAGGCGAAGGCGATCACACGCGGCTGCACAAACACCGACGAGGGCGTCTGAACGCAGTACATCTTGAGCGCATCGCCCGTATAGTCATTAGAGACGAACGCGATGCCATTCCCGACAGAGGAGTCGACTGACCAGCCCGCGAGATGTGGGGTCGACTTGCCGACTGACTCGAGCTCCGAACGAATCACGCCCATCACTGTTATCTGCTTGTTAGTGTCACCGTCCCTGAGAGGTTTAAGACGCAACATGCGAGGGCCCTTGGGGATAGTTAACTCGAAACCGTCAAGGTAGTTTTTGCGGAACGTCCAGATCGTCTCCGACGCTGCATCACCCGACGGGAACGCAATAATCACATTCTTCGAGAAGGTCTGGGGCGTGACCTTCATCTGTTCCAGAGTTTCGGCCCGAGCGCATGCTGTCAACATTGCCGCCCCCGCCTCGGCGAGGACTTACAAGTGAACTCATCCCCAAAGCCCACAACAATCCCCTTGGAGAGCAGGTCCTGATTGCCAAATCTAACACGAGTGCCGAACCTAGCCTTTTTCGCCACGTCGCCCTCACTGCCATCGTCGCTCGTGAGACCGACGCTGCTGCTAACGCCACCGCTGTTCGCCAACGACTTCAGATCAGGCCGCATCCGTTTCTGCTAGCTTCTTCATCCAACCCTTCCCGCATCCGATTCATAACCCCGGCAGTCTTTGTTACCTGCTCAGTCACCTTCGTGATCGAACTGGTCAACGCAGCCACCTAAGCCGTCAGATCCGCAGTCGCTTTCTTTGTCGAGGACGGCGACATTGCACTGCAGAACAGAGCGCTGGCTGAAAACGAGCGGGTGATCCGATCTCGTCGGAAGAAGAGGGGCGCCGAGCAGAGCAGCTGTGCCCAGGATCCGAACTGTCCCCATAACTGCGGGCAAGATCGAAGCACCAGGCATTAGTGTTTCGAACTTGAGCCAACATGGCTTGAGTCAAAATGGCTACGGATGATGATGATGATGATGATGATGATGATGATGATGATGATGATGATGATGATGGTGATGATGATGATGCTGCTGATGATGATGATGATCATGATGGGGGGAGGGAGGATCAGGGGGCGGAGGAAGGAAGGAGGAAAGAGAACGCGGCGCGATGCGTATTCAAAACGAAGACCCAACACCACAGAATACCAACAATAGGAATGATAATAATCATCAACCGTTCTATATATAATGAAAATACGAATACTAATAATACGAATGGTAAAGTAATAACAATAATAATGATGATACTGAGAAGAATAATGATAAAAATAATAATGGTGATAATACGAATAACAATAATACGAATACTAATAATAATGATAATAATGAAAATAATAATAATAATGGAAATAATAATAATAATATTATTATTAATACTAATAATGATACGAATAATAATAATACGAATAATAATAATAATAATAGAACGGGCATCGACGGTCTGGGACCGAGGGTCGAGGTGGATCGAGCATCAGGCATCGAGGCTCGGGCATCGAGGGCCGAGGCCTCTGGGGCGTTTCTGGGACTCCTGGGGCGCGATCTCGTCACGAGATCGCGCCCCAGGAATTCGACGGGGAGCACGAGATTCTCGTGCTCCCCGTCGAATTCCTTGCCAGAAGGTGCCCCAGTACAGGTCCGTGGGTCGGCGTTCGACCCTGGGGATAGAGCCAACTGTGCACCGACCCTCATCCTGGCCAGGATCGGTGCAATTAGGTGTACACGTGGCGCCCTCCGAACCCCAAAGCCGTGCGGCAGCCTCGTGCCATGACGACGTCGACGTGGATTACTGACACCGCGTGGACGGCTCCACCTCGAGGGGCCGCACCCTTCCGACAGCGCGGGTCGTTCGATGCCGCCAAGTCCTGGCAAATGGCAGCGCTCAGCCTTGAACGCCCACGCTGGCGTCGCCGCCGCGTCGACACGACACGGATCTGCCGAAGGCCTCCGAAGCCCTCTCGGTTGGTGCCGAGGGGGTCACTACCAGGTCGGGATCGCCTCCTCCTCCTCCCGAGGACCGAAGGTCGAGGAGGAGGTGGAATCGATCGAGGGCCGGAGAGGTTCCTGCACCGTTCTGTGAACGTAAAAAGCAGTTAGTTCTGGGAAGTCTGGAACTCCTGGGGGGATCTTCCTCCTCCTCCTCCTCCTCCTCCTCCTCCTCCTCCTCCTCCTCAGGAGGAAGAGGTGGCGCCCCCCCAAGTGGTGACCCCCCTGGGAACTGCCTGGCCCCAGAGGGCTGACCAGACCCCCAGGGCGCCGCGAGAAAAAAACGAAGACTAAACAAACGGCGGGGGAGGCTGTTCTTGGCGTTGGGCCTCCGGAGGCGTGCTTCGGGCCGAAGGGCCATCAAAGAATCACCTGCGACGTAAAGGTAGGCTTAAGTCGGGCCTGTCCCCCTACAGGGCGATGTTCGACGAAATATATATATATATATATATATATATATATATATATATATATATATATAATATATATATATATATATATAATAAAAAAAAAAAAAAAAAAAAAAAAAAAAAAAAAAAAAAAAAAAAAAAAAAAAAAAAAAAAAAAAAAAAAAAACGCAACAAATGCTCCAATATGATCAACAAATATTCAAAAAATGATCCCCCTACTAGTTTTTGACTATTTTTGGATATTCCCCCTGTAGAGGGACAGGCCCGACTTAAGCCGAAGGGCCATCAAAGAATTACCCGCGACGTAAAGGTAGGCTCCCAGATAGAGGTGGGGCCGGGAGGTCCAGGAGCCCAAGTCAGGAACAGATCGGGACGTTGGGGGTCTGGAAGGGAGGGCACGCGACCGGCTCCTGCGAGGACCTCGACCGGTCCTCGCAGCTTCTGGATCGGCTCCCGAAGGACGGCTCTCGAGGGCCCCTCACATTCCTGGGGGTCTCGCTTCATTCTCCAGTGGCCCTCTCCAATGCTGGACCATGGTACTCAGTCTTCGGATGCTCTCGAGCCCCACCAAAAATGAAGTGGAAAGGCTCAGGAAAGATCTCGATTCAAGGATGGCCCGCGGCCCGACCCCGCCCTCGGAAGGAGGAGGAGGAGGAGGAGGAGGAGGAGGAGGAGGAGGAGGAAGCTGGACCTGGCCCCTGGGCGGAAGCGGGGGGCCACACGCCAAGAGGGCACGCCTGGGGGGGGGGGCTCAAGACATTCGCCACAGCAGAGAGTGGCTTCCCCCTGCACCGCACTACCGAGCACAGGGATGAGAAGGCATTGCGTACGTGATCAGCGTCTCCAGCCGCCCAGGGTCTGGACCCGCTGCACTGTCTTTCGAACGTTCACGCGCTCGCCCCCGCTGCAGGCGCATCGCTCCTGGCTGCGCCGAGCCACAGTGCAAGCGCAGCCCTCTCCCATCCCCCTACTCCTTTGCTCCTCGGCCTCGCCCTCCGCGTCACAACCATCACCACCACCACCGAGCTCCTCATCCCCCTCCTCCTCATACTCCTCTTGCTCCCGTTCCTGCTCCCGCTCTTGCTCCCGCTCGCCATCCCCAAGACCTCCCACGCCGTGATCTGCTCGCGGCGTGGGCCCTGGAGCACGAGCCCCCCACCCCCAGGCAGATGCATACACATACACGTATGCAAAGCTGTATGTGCATGCTTGTGCAAAGAGAGAAATACGTACATTCGTGTGAGAGAGCGTGATCCACCGCCGCTTTGCTGTGGAAAATTCTCCCCACCCCTCTCTTCCTCCGGAACCCGGGGTTCCCCCCCCCTCGAAAATCCCCCCTCCCCTGCTGGACACCCCCCCTCCCCCCGGCCCCCCCCCCCCCTCCCCCCCCCCCCCTGACCCCTCCCCCCCCTCTGGAAAACCGGGGGGGGTCGCTACGGGTTCAGAAAACCAAGGGGGGTCACTACCAATTGACCCCCCCCCTTCGAAAACTGGGGGGGTCACTACCGGCTCGAACCCCACCCCCCGCCACCGCCTGCTGGCAAACGACTCCCGGGTCCCCACCACCGTTCGCACTACATCCCCCACTGCTGTCACCAGCGCCAGTGTCCCCACCACCATTGTCTCCACTGTTCCACACCACCGGCCCCACTGTCCCCCACCCACCAGTGCCCCCACCACTGTCGCACTCTCACCGCTGTCCCCACCACTGTTCCCACCACGGTCCATCTCCCCCCAGCTTCCCCACGGTCCCCACCACTGTCCCACTGACCCCACTGTCCAAATGTCCCACTGTCCCCGCCGCTGTCCCACTGAGCTGTCCCACTGTTCCCACCACTGTCCCTGCTGTCCCCACCACTGTCCCGAATGTACCTCTGTCCCATTGTCCCACCACCGTCCTCGCCACCGCCCTCACCACTGTCCCCACCACCACTGTCTCCACCAGTCCCATTGTCCCCACCACATTCCCACTGTCCCCACACCACTGTCCCCAACATGACCGTCTCCACCACTGTCCCACAGTCCCCACCACTGTCCCCGTGTTCCCACCATTGTTCCCGCTGTCCCCACCAGTGCCCCCACCAGTGTCTTACTGTCCCCACTCTCCCCACCAATGTCCCACCACGGTCCTACTCTCCCCACTTTCCCCACGGCCCCCACCACTGTCCCACTGTCCCCACTGTTCCCACCACTGCCCCACTGTCCCCACCATTGTTCCCGCTGTCCCCACCAGTGCCCCCACCAGTGTTTCACTGTCCCCACTTTCCCCACCATTGTCCCACCACGGCCCCACTCTCCCCAGTTTTGCCACGGTCCCCACCACTGTCCCACTGACCCCACTATTCCAACCACTGTCCCACTGTCCCACTGTCCCCGCCGCTGTCCCACTGCACTGACTGTCACACTGCCCCCATTACTGCCCCACCACCGTCCTCACCACCGCCTTCACCACTGTCCCCACCACTACCGTCCCCACCACTGTCCCACTGTCCCCACCACTATCCCGCTGTCCCCTCACCACTGTCCCCACCACCAACGTCCCCACTACTGTCCGCACCACGGTCCCACTGTCCCCGCACTACTGTCCCCACTACCACCGTCCCCACCACTGTGCCAGTATCCCCACCATTGTCCAACTGTCCCGAGAAGCGGGAATCGTTTGCCGGCGGTGAGGCGGGGGGAGGGGGGTCGAACCGGTAGCGACACCCCCCGGTTTTCGGGGGGGGGGGGGGCGTACCGGCACTGACCTCCCCCCCCTTTTTCATGATGGACTGGGGGGGGTTCGAACCAGTAGTGACCCCCACGGTTTTCGAGGGGGGGAGGGGGGGGCGGATTGGGAACCCCCAGTGACCCCCCCCTGGTTTTCCGTCCGCCAGCAGCGGTAGATCACGCTCTTTCGTGTGT